ACGTAGTGTTACTTTTAAGACATGTACTAAATCCAATGTTATCCTATGCCTAAGGGACCAAAAACACAAACTATTTTTCTACTTATAAGATATGTACTAAATTTTATTTTTTCTAGTATAAACCATGCTATTATGTAGCAGAATTAGAAATATTAAAAAAGACATGATCAAAAGAATATTGGCAAGAATCGAACTTATAATATTCTAATACGAAAATTAAATTTTACTCATTTCTTTCAAGATTATAATTAAATATAGAGTAATATTTTCCTCATTCACTTATTTGGTTGGAAAATGAATTCCTCAAATTTGAGGAAAACAAAATCCTTGGTTGGACCAAGGATTTTGTTTTCCATGGAAGATAAGAAGAAAAAGTGAGATGGAATGCCTATTTTACCCTTGTTTACTTTTTAAAATTATATTACTTTTATTAATTTGTAGGGGCATATAGGTCTTTATACTCGTTATTCCTTATAATTTCAAATCAAACCAAACAATAGAATTAGTTTTATATTTCAGTAATTCTTTTTTCACCGATCAAACAATGAAATTCATCTTCCTAGTAATTATTTTTTTTATAAAATTTCAATTCAATTTCCCTTAAAATATTTTCCGCGAACCAAACCAGGCCTTATTGTTTTGTCTTTCTTATATATATTTCATTGTAGAGCACTCTAGCTAGTTATGGAGAGTTGTGAAGGCAGAGAAATAATTGCAGTGCATTAATTTGATGGTAGGATTAGACTAACGATATTTCAACTGAGGATGGGGGACTATTCTTGGGTCAATTCTTTTTTTGTACTTTTTTTTTTTTCTTTTCTTATTATATTTTCCTTCTAATGTCATTAGCTATATTTTAAGTGAATCTTTAAATCAGTTTACATTGTTTATAATTATAATTAATTAATACAAATAAAAAAAGTTAATAGATAATTTTATCAATAGATTCGAATTTTAAACGTCATAATTACTAAATCAATTTTTCAACCAATACAATTGAGGTGGCCCTATTTCATTGTATCTTCTATAGTAAAATAAAGGAATAAAGGTCAAATATGTCATTGAACTGCATAGGCTAATACAATTAGGTCATTAAACCTAAAAAAACTATAATTGAATGTATATACTAACCTGTTTCATGCAATTAGTCCAGTTTACAAACTTTCAATTTTTTTGAAAAATAATTATTCAAAATATTAATAAAAAAAAAAAACATAACTTCGTCTCTGAGAGATGAAACTCTGTTTTTTTTATTAATATTTTAAATAATTATTTGTTAAAAATATTTTAATTTTGGGATGACATGTTAGAAACTTTAAAAACCTATAAATTAGACTAATTGTATGAAATTAATTAATTTATAAATTCAATTGTAATTTTTTTTTTAAATTCAGTGATATAATTGCATTATATTTAATGGCTGTTCTTATTCCTAAAATAAATGTGTTAATTATTCGATTATCCAAACGAATAATTGGTGATACAGTCGTGGGAGGTCTATTCCATATTATCAAACTCGAAATTGATGTAACTCACCCATACTATTCGTCCATTTTGAGTAAAATGCATTTCTTGATTAAGACTGACTAACCAATTATTATTCACTGTTTTTTTTTTTTTGAAAGAAAAAAAAAATTATTTCACCGTTTTTTTATTTGTAAAACAAAGCAACTATTTTATGTTTCAAAAAAAAAAAAAAAGCAACTATATTAATTTAAATCCAGTTTTCAAAAAAAAAAATATTAATTTAAATCCAAGTTCAAAAATAATTTTCACTGTTAATACACATGAATGAAACGACAACAGGTTCCTTCCAAGCTACCGACGGCAAAATTACGATCGCAGTCATGATTGGTTAGTTTATGAATAACCCTGGCCTAGATATAGACAAAAACACTATTTAATTAGAGCTGTCACTACTAATTCTGAGTCTATTTTGAAACAGCTCCATACAGGCTAGCAAAGGAAAGTCTGGGGCAAACGGGTGTTCTGAGACAACTCCAATCGAGTTAGTATAGTTCGCTTAGTAACTAAAGGTTAAAAGTTAAACTCTCTATTGAAGCTATCTATTGATATTCTAGGTTTGAGCCGAGCTTCACTAGAGTGATAGCGGTTGTGTGCCCAATTTTAAAAGACTCTGTATGGAAGAAATAACTCGAGTCGGACTACTTTACCCAATATTCCGACTGTACTCAACTGTTTTCATTTTAAATAATAATTTTCATATAAACTCCCAAAAGTTTCAATTGCTTACTTTTGATTTACCAAAAACTAGTAGCTGTTACCTGAATGTGTATTCTAAGTGACGTCCACATTGTGATTTAATTGACAAAGGAATACAAGGAGGTACACCAGCCTAGGCTGGCTAAGGAATGCAAAGAGGTAAACTAACTTAGAATTGACTCAAATCAAGAAAGTTAATAAATAATTTTTACTAGGAGTCAGCTTATAATCACCAATGAAGTTAGTTGACTGTGTGACTAACTTGGCTGGGGTTGCCCCAAGTTTAAATTGGTTACTTGTTTAGACCAAAGCATGAAGGTAATATGAATGTTTTGATTGTGTAAAACGGAGTAATGTTGAAACGGTAGGTGTAATTGTGCAATATAATGTTGAAAATGTGGTTAGAAAGAGAAGGCTAGCTAGGGCCCGGGTTAGCAATGGGCATTGAAGGGGTCCATTGACGGATAGCTAGCTTTTCCTTAGCTGTATGGAAAGCAGTAGCTTTGATGGATTTTGCCATTGGAATTCGTCACTACTAATTTCTTTAATTTCTCTCTCTGTCTCTCTCTCTCTCTCCTACGTGTAGTTATAAATAGCGTACCCCATCATTGTTTTTTCTCTCAGCTAGCTAGCTCGTATCATCCATGACGACAAGTAGTCTAAGAAACTCAGCTCTCCTATTTGCGTTTTACGCATTGCCTTTTTCCTTATTATTATCTGTGACTGCACGACCGGCCACGTTTCTTCAGGACTTCAAAGTCTTCTATGCCGACTATCACGTCAAGCAAGCCGAAGGCGGCCGAGCCATCCAGCTTGTTCTCGACCAGAGCTCAGGTATGTATCGTAAACACCGTACCAATTATATTGTAGTATGATCATGCGTCATATATATCACTGTACTGGGAATTGAATTTCAGGAAGTGGGTTTGGTTCCAGATACAAATACCTTAACGGACAGTTCAGTATGAAGATCAAGCTCGTCCCCGGTGACTCCGCCGGAACCGTCACCGCCTTTTATGTGAGTCATCGGCACGCACAGACAGTATATTAATTAATTTTGAATAATATAATGATGGATATGATGTTGTTTTGTGACAGTTGAACTCGGACACAGGCAACGTGAGAGACGAGTTGGACTTCGAGTTCTTGGGAAACCGGTCGGGACAACCTTATACCGTCCAAACTAACGTGTATGTCCATGGAAAGGGCGACAGGGAAGAAAGAATCAATCTGTGGTTTGACCCTTCTCTTGATTACCACACTTACAAAGTCCTATGGAACCATCACCATTGCGTGTAAGTATTTGTGCGTTTAATTTAGGAATTGAATAATATAATTGAAAAACCAATCAAACCCATGCGGCCATTAATTGTATTGTACGTGCACGCATGGCATGCCAGATTCTACGTGGACGAAATCCCGATCAGAGTATTCAAGAACAACGAAGCCAAAGGGCTGCCGTACCTGAAATACCAACCCATGGTGATTTACTCCACGTTATGGGAAGCCGACGACTGGGCGACCCGGGGCGGGTTGGAGAAGATCGACTGGAGCAAAGCGCCGTTCAATGCTTACTACAAAGATTTCGACATTGAAGGATGTCCGGTGCCGGGGCCGAAAGAATGTTCGTCGAATCCCAGGAACTGGTGGGAAGGGGCGGCGTACCAGCAGTTAAGCGCCGATGAAGCGAGGCGTTACCGTTGGGTACGTATGAACCATATGGTTTATGACTATTGCACCGACAAAGCAAGATACCCGGTGCCCCCACCAGAGTGTAGGGACGGGATATGATTGATCCAACGTAAGCAACCATATACACATATACAGGATTGGAGCCCGGCCTTATATCTTTTCTATTATTGTACTTTCTTTGTATATTTGTCAATGTTTCGTATTTCAATTGTAGCCTGCCCCTATAAGTTACGGTACAGTTCTAAGTTGTGGAAAATGGGAGGGGGGTAGGATGGGAATAAGAAAAAAAAAACAAGTTTCTATATATCATAATTTTGTGGTTGTATTGATATAGCTATCTATCTATCTTAATAAAATCCATAAAGACTAAATTAAAGCGTATGGGGTGGTGTTGCTGCCCCCTGCCAGGCAAGGGATTAGTGGGCAGAGAAGTGTCATTTTTATTGTTGTGTTTGATTTGATGTTATCATTATTATGTGTACACTGTATAAGCCAATAATGTTTCTTTTTTACATGGTTTATGAAAACGATGGAATTTACGTAAGTGGGGCTGCCACGTACTCCTCTATTCTCGTAAATTTTTTTATGTGCACTTTACACCAGTTGCCCTAGTGGGTAGAGTCAATCACCAACCTCTTGTTTATCATTCCTCAACACAAGGAAACAGACTTCTTATCAAAATGCTGACTAGATAATAGATATAGAGCAAGATATTCAGAAAATTATTGGTCCCATACGTAAAAATATATATATAATTTTTCTACTCTATTATTATTATTATTACTATAATAATATAATATATTATATATAATAGAATAGAATGGAATCAGGAAAAATACATAGGTAAACGGACAACTTTATTAGTTTCTAGTCTTCTAATGAATCTGACTGCTGAAGATGTGCGATGTGTCTCATATTATTCCATCAAGATTTTTTTTTTAATTTACCAATTGGCTAAGAGTCTAGAATGTTTAAAATTTCAAATTAAAAATATTCAAATGGGAATATACAAGTCACTACTACTGCTAGTACAATAACAACTAATTAATCGCAAGTGAAAGCATCAACTAGTCATGACTAAACAAAATAATAATGACTATTTAATCACAAGTGAAATACAATGAAGTTCTGTCAAGACAAATCATATGAAGATTTTACCTATCAACTGACAATACTTGACAGAACACACCATATACTAAACTGAATATGCTGTTTCTTAGTACTTCCTGGTTAATTACCAATAGACTGACGCATGAAATCATTTCAGATAAAAATGGCCACAAACAAGTAAAATCATTGTGACGTAACCTTTTTTTTTCTTCTTCTTCTTCTTCTTCTTATTATGGGGAAAGGAGAGACAATGTAGGGATAACATAAATCAAGGCAGACAGTTCCAAAATTTTTCCTTCCAAGTTCCAATGAATGTGATCTGACCTTGTTTTAATATCCACTTTGAATGTTGTGAGGAGGCAGCTGAAGAATCGGGTATACTAATTTTGTGGGGTCACAAAAAAATGCTAAGCTGTTTTACTTCTTGGTAATGATTTTGACTGCAATAGGATCTGAGCAGTAGGGACAATTCCCAAATAGAACATCAAATGACCTGAAAAAACAAACATGGAATGGAGATGATTCAGCCCTGCAATTTATGAAAGGGTAAACACTTCTAATTGCATAATGCAAGTGAGAAATCCATAAATAAAATATAAAAAAATAAATTAATTAATTAAAAAAAAAAGGTAATGGGAAAGGCATAGATACTGTACTAGGAAGGAAAAAGTCTAAAAAACAGATTTGAACTGTATATTCTAATTTTAGACATGTCTAAAAGAAGAATGCAATAAAGGTTCAAGCACATGCTAGCAAATAATGATGCAGCTAGTCAACAAGAAAATTCCAGTTTAAGCCATACAAAAAAAAAAGAAGATAATATTGGACAATGACATTGCAAAGTTCTAGCAAAATGGACACAAATGTTTTCCTTATTCACTACAAGTTATCATAGCACAATCTACAAGGTATTCTTTTGAGGATCGTTTATCAATTCTCCCTCCAAGAGACACAGGTGATAGTACTCGTTCATACTGAGCAGAAACATTATGGTCATAACTGTAAAACTACAACAGAAACATAAGAATAGGGAACATACTGCCTTGTTGTTGTGATGGAACGCAGCCAATCTCCAAGGCAAATACTGTGGAAGGCTTTACTGCAGTTGTTATTTTCACATGCATAATCAGTTCCACTCCCACTCTTTGTGCCAAGCTCATCATCTATGTTGACATCACTAAGTCAATAATAGATATGATGACAAGCTAATAAACATAGGAAATGTATAGTTACCAATTGGGAGATATGGTGCATAACAAATTCCACATTCAGACTGCTGTTCACTCTTCCGTTCATCAGGAGGGCCAGGTAATTGAATTTTCAATAAATTGACCAGATTTTCAGCAAATGGTTTGTCTTTAATCCTATTCAAAAGTCAACTCCGGTTGATGGAACTAATTCATACACTTCAAGTATCATCAATTTTATTAAAATATGCATAACAGACATGAAAAAGATGATACTCAGAAACCAGAATTGACTTATATACCATCTTTGGCAATTTCTCCTCCACATTCCATGCAGTATGTTCACCTCTGAATCTGAACCAATAAAGTGGCACCTACCAGCAATCCAAAATTCAATTCTAAATATTTTGCACCACAACAATGCAGTAAAGAAATTTTTGAGAGAAAACCTACTCTGGCAGGGCTTTTGGGTCATCCGGATCTATAGACAAGATGATATAGCAATCATTACCTACAAAAGGAAGCAAAGTTAGTAAGATGTGGAATAGCTATAAGTGACTTCATCTTTTTAAGCCTCCAAGTTTTAAAAAATATATACCTATATCTATTTGGCGATGTGATGAAGCAAGCCGTGGATGTTTAGGATTAAAAACCCGAAGAGAGCCGTCAATTTCATCCATTGTAGACCAGAAGGGTTGAAGCTTATCCAGATGCTGAATGCATGATTAATAGAAAATGATAACAAATAAAACTTTCAAGAGAAAATAAAAAATATATAATTGGAGGGAAAGTACCTGTCTAAACTGCTTCACAACATCTTTTAGCGTTGAGTTTGCTGACCATTGCAAATTGAAGATGCACGGCACATCCTAGGAAATTATGTTAATATTGGATTATTACCAAATGCAGATTCATGTGCCAGAAATTAGAATATTATAAGAAAACCAACCGCCGATATTGAGGGTGGAGATTTTGGATAGCCTTTATCCAATTCTATCATTATAGTATGTGTTCTTCCCTTCTTGTCTCTGTAGAAAACCAACCGCCAAAATTAAGTGTGCATTCCATGAAGTTATATTGATGAGGACACATCCCACAACAATAAATACCATCTAGAGTTCTAATTGTCTTAATTAATGCAAGTTAACTTAAATAAAAAAGGGAGAAGGCAAAAGAATTTTACCATGCTGATTGTGTTGAATTGGAATATCATGTTGGCCTAAAAACAAGTGGGAAAATCATTTGAAAGGTCCCAAATTTCGTGTCTACCAAGGGAGAAGAAAAGACAACCTCAAATCAGCTCAACATGGACAAATTATGGCTCATTTACTTTCTTTTAATGTTTGGAGTGACTCTTGGTATTTCATTTCAATCAATAGTGGAGTGTTAGAAAGTGATGTACATGCCTATATAAAGGTTAAACACAATCAGAATTAGAGATAGAGATGAATGAAGTTGAATGAAAGAAATGCTAAGGCATTTTGTTTTCTCTCATGTGATTTGGGAGATGTTCTTTTAGGCTTATCAAGATAATACCAATCTTGTGGTGCCATCCATTCCTTATCACCTAAGACCAAGGTGTGGCGGAAATATCCTTATACAAAAACACAAAAATAATCCCAAATTCAGCCCCTACATCAACCAATTCCATCTCCAACACCCATAAACTGTAATTGTTGTTCCTGCTGTTTAGGTGAGGAAAAGATCGGGCAATCAAAGGACTCTTTGGTGAATCGACTCTCGAGTTCACCCTCAAAGATCCACATCATATATACTCCTGTATAGCACCTGCCTATTTTCAAAAATTAATTATATTCCTCCATCAGCATAGTTTCTTTGGATCACTTTTTATTCTAAGACATTATTTTATACTCAAAACTGCTAGAGAGAAACAATATATTGCATTCTAACACTTCAATTTTTCCTTGCATCAGTTTGTCATTCTCCAATACTGCAAGTTTGACTCTACCCCATGGTCACCATTTCTACACGAAAAACAGAATGTGATAGCTGTGTATTATGGAGTACCATATTCTATAGAATACTTCGTATTTTAAACAGACACGAACTTATCTAAGCATAGTATCTATATTTGACACTTTGATGATGCCAAACATCTAGCAGCACGTCATTATATAGATAACAGAATTATACAAATAAAAATTCTTGTATAGTTGGGTTTCTATTTATCAACTACAAAAGAGACACATAAATCCGAAAGAGACAAGAAATGTAGAAGCAAGTAGCCACTTTATGATGCAGAAAGAATCTTTCTTTCCTTCTACTCACTGACTAACTATTGGCAGATGCTGACAAGAACCAAGAAATCCTTACATTATACGAAAACTAAGAGATGTCAAATCTTCCCCCAATCTAACAAGATGCCTCCACCCTATCTCTTCTACCTGTAAGCCAAATGATTAGAGAACTTTTATTCAGGGCCCTGTAGTACAAAACCATGGCTATCTAGCTATCAAGATTATGCTTTAATCCATATTCAACAATACTGAAAATGTACATTTCAACCATACAAAATCTGAATAGGGATATAATTACTACATTAATACCGAAAAACAGATAAAAAATGTATCGTGCAATTTACAATGGATCTAAGCCCTTATACTGATTATAATTCCACTTACTTCTGAATATATCTTGCTGTAAAAGGACGAGGAACTGGCCAACTCTTGACATTTCTTCTGGTCAGTATACATCTAAAATACACGAAATTACGAAGTAATACCAGTAATTAGTACGGAACAAGTTTGAAATATTCAGCTACAATATATAATACAAGATTCAATTCACACTTCTCATCCCTAGCTCTATAACTACACTACAAGTGTGTAAAAATATAATCGAAGAAATGTGAAAGTTAATCTCAAAGTAAATGGAGTTAATTATTTACATTGACATGAAATTAGGAGTTTGAAATCATGCAAAGCTTACCTGAAGCGCTTTAATGGTTACTGCTGTGCTGCTCCTCAGCTTCTCGGGTGCGATTCGTCGTCGCTCCCTCCTTTTTTCTTTGCCCCGAACTCCCGCCCTCCGCCATGGGCCCACCCTAAAGAAATTTTAATATTGGGGTGACATTGTGATGGGCCTTATTTCATTACATCACTAATAACAAACTCAAAACAATCAACTATGGCAATATCAAAGATGAATATATTCATTTTTACATGTTTATTTTTAATATTCAAAAAGTTCATTTTTATATAGTAAACTTAAAAACGAACATTCATACACAAAAAAGTAGCATTCAATATAATAAAAATAAATTTTTAATATATTAAAAATGAATTTTATATCATGATGTTCACGTCAAGTGAACCATGGTCTACTGTATAATGATTGCAATCATTATATCGTGCATCTAGTCCATCATAAGCATTATGGATCTTGTCCAGATTATATATATAATTAACATATAATATACTTTCAGTTAGTATATACAATTAGGATCCATTTGAAACCTTCATTTTCTGAATTTTTCAGTATTTTGGGTACTAAAGGAAAATGAAGTCAAAAGAAAATATTTATTATGGTCAAAGAAAATAAGGTCCAATTTGACGGAAAATGTCTTCCTAGTTTTTTGGACGGAAGACATTTTTCGGAATCTTTATCTCTCTTCACTTTCTTCTTTTTAAGTTAATTTCCAAATTATTATTACCCCACCACAATCACCACCAACAGCACCAATACCAATACCAATACCAACACCACACCACAACACAACCACAACATCACCACCACCACCAACATCACCATCACTATCACACCACCACCATTACCACCACAAACACCAAGACCATCACCACCACCACAGCCATCACCACTAACACCACCACCACCACTACCACTACTACTACCACACCACCAACATCACTACATATTATTATTATTATTATTATTATTATTATTATTATTATTATTATTATTATTTTAACAAATAATATGTTCTTTTTCAAGAAAATGAACACAAACCGAAAAATGCAATTTCTTAACTTTCAGCCAAATACTAAAAAATAAAAACATTTTCCAGAAAATGACTCATTTTCGGAAAATCAATTTTCAAAAAACATTTTCTAATTTTTCAAACGGACCCTTAGTTAACAGATTATAGGGTACAACTCAGACAAATTGTTCGGACAATTAAAGCTACAAAGTTTCAAATTCAACTTTTCTTAAGAGCTATTTATTTGCCTTCTTCATTGTGAATTTTTCCGAGTACCAGAAGTGAGCTTTTCTGTTAATCAAAGCTTGCTTCAAAGAGGTGGGAATGCGGATCTCTAATATAACATACCAAATGAGGGCAATTTATATCGTGCACCACGGCGCACATAGCAATGTGCGCCCAGGCACAAAACGCGCGCGTTTCATGTTGACATCATGCTGATGTCACTCCGTCCATCCGAACAGACCAAACCTCATTATGTGTATTCAGTTAAAATTTTATGTGTATTGTGTTATGAGTTTATGTATATTAGTTAAGAGTTTATGTGTATTATGTTAACCAAACCCATTATGTGTATTCAGTTAAAAGTTTATGTGTATTGTGTTATGAATTTATGTGTATTATGTATTATGTTAGATTATGTGTATTCTGTTATGAGTTTATGTGTATTCTGTTATGGCTTTATGTGCGTTCTCATTTTTTTTAACAACTTAACAAAACGACGTCGTTTTGGGAGGCGTGAGACGCACAGTGCTATGTGCGCCTTGGTGCACGGTATAATGATTGGGCCATGGGCTGAATCTTAACATGATTGAGTATATCAGTCGGTAAAAATGAGGTGGTTTTGGTACGCCTTGTCATGGCGTGGCGCCACCACACCATAGGCTCATTAATTGAGCACATCGACAAACAATAGCGACCCCTTCCCAGCCAAGATGCACCTGTTGCTTGCACAAATGGCCGGCAACTAACTGACGAGACAAAACCCAATCATAAACTAAATTACACCTCCTATCTCCTCGCCCTTTTCCTTCCATTTTTCTGGAGAATACAGATGCGATAGATGCGTGGGTGGCAGTATTATGGCAAGCAAACCAATTTACTCGGTAGCTTCCAGCATAACGACACTGAATAGTAATGTGGATAAAGACACGTTTTGGGACCACGACTTGGTGAAGCAAAATCTTATACTCCAAAAATACTGAAACACACAGGATAATGCGATGGCTCCAAACTCCCAACCATGCTTTATTTCGACGACGATGACAATGACGAGAAAAAACATCCTAAGCAATAACGTACGTGGACACGTGAATCCCATCCGGCGTCTGAGATGTCGTATGATTATCCGTTACATCCACATAAATCTTCTGCCGATCCGTTACGGTAGTTTGTGGTTAACCGCTACGTTACACCAATGGTCTAATCCATTATTGTGCTTTCGTTTTCTAAAATGGCATTGGACACTCTGATCTAATCGATTTCGATGATACGACACTTGTCATTAGTAGTTATTTTAGTTTTTGATTAATCTAATAAAGTGTAAGTATTGTTAGGTCTAGATAAAGACAGCTCTTTGGAGAACCAAAATTGATGTGTTATATATAGGGGCAATCCCAACCAAGTTGGTCAGATGATTGGTTTGGTAACTACAAGATTATAAGTTTGATTACTAGCAGGAGTGACCTATTGGTCTTATTGGTTTGAGTCAATTAGTTATGCACAACAAACTTATAAATTAGGCTGGCGTATTTCCTTGTGGACAAGCCAGCTAAGTTAAGGTAAAAACTGAGGTTAATTAATTGTTTACCCTCAAGTAATAGCTCCGAGTTTTTCTCATTACTCCAAATTGATATGTTATGTGACTCTCGTACCTAAAGATCATGTGTTCGATTCTTAGCTAGTCGTCACTCTCTCGGGCTCTCGGTTAAGCCTGTGCATGTGATTTTTCTAGTGCAATTTATTTCTCATGTGTGACTTACGGGTCATTATATACAAGAACATAATTTATCTAGTACATACACATCATTAGATAATAGTTGTGAGTTTCTCTCCAAACTCAAAAAATTGAAATGTTATTGAATGGTTGTGCTAGTCTAGTATATAGTTGTTGTGTCTTCAAACCTTTGTGGTCAATAGCCCAAAGGCTAAGCCAATATGCAATTAGTCAATACATAACTTTTGTGCTGCTAAGTTGTTTAACTAGAAGAAGCTAGAAGGAATTGATGAAGTAAGTTGGAAACAAGTCAAGTCAACAAGCCATCAAAATCCAGTCAGCAAGCCAAGGGCTTATTTGTCCTTTCCCTTCTCTTGGCAGTTATAACTGCCATTTGTATATAAGAGCCGTTTTATGCTCTTCTTCTTTTGTACTGTATCTTTCCAAGCTTCTGAATAAGAATCATCTCCACTCTTCTCCTTTGCTCATCTCTTGTAATGATCTGAGCCTACTCCAACATGGTATCAGAGCTTCATCGTAGCTATGCCGCAGCGGTAATGGCGGAAGACGGTGAAGGGAACTCTACTGGACAGCAAACAACAGGGTTTTCAAATCAGAATCAGACAAACTTCAATCACAATCAAACGAACTCCAATTCAACTCAATACGATCCTGATGATCCGATGTATCTGCATGTGACCGAGAATCCCAATCTCGTTCTCGTCTCTCCACCACTATCGGAGATCAATTATGCCTCATAGAGTCGTTCGATGAAGATGGCGCTGGAAGTGAAGAACAAATATGGCTTCGTAGATGGAACAATTGTGAAACCAGCAGAAATAGATCCTAGATATCCGATCTGGAAGAGATGCAACAATGTGGTGTGCTCCTGGCTATTCAAGTCTCTCAGTCCTACTACCGCTGAGGGAGTGCTCTACTTTGAGCTTGCAGCAGAGATCTGGAAGGTTCTTGCAAAAAGATATTCCCAGGCGGATCCTCACAGAGTTGCAGAGATACAAAATGAAATTTATAGGAGCTCTCAAGGTAATCTGTCTATCAATGAGTACTTTACTAAGACTAATGCCCTATGGGTTCAATTAAATTCTATGAGACCTATTCCCACTTGTGAATGCGTGCCTAAGTGCTCTTGCACTCTTATGAGTAAGATTAAAAAGGAAAAGGAAGAGGACCAGATCATTAGGTTCTTAGAAGGCCTGAATGAAAATATGAAAGTATCAAGGCAGGGATTCTTGTGATGGATCCCATTCCAGTCATGGAAAAAGTGTTGAACATGACTTTAAAGATGGAAAGAAAGCTTAAGAACTCAATTAGTGTCAAATGTAATGATCTGGCTCAGGCCAATGCTATACAGAATGACCAAGTTCAACAATCATATGAACAGATGATGATTGCCACTTCAAGTTCATATAATAGAAAGAAGTTTAATACTGGATCTCAGAAGAATGTACCTAAATGTACATATTGTGGGATGCTGGGCCACACTGTTGAGAAATGTTATAAGAAACATGGGTATCCCCCTGGGTGGGTACCAGGTTATAAATCCAAGGGGAAGCAGAGCCAAGATACTCAGCATAATTCCAATGCATCTGTCAGTCAGGCCAATGATGTTGGCTTATCTCATGATCAGTTTCAGAGACTCTTAGCTCTCTTACAGAATAAAAAACAAGGAAGTCAGCACTCAACTAGTGCAGCTGTTACAGTTAGTGGTGTTGGTCTCACTCCTGAATTCAGAAACTCTATGGAAAACAGCCACAATGAAGGCAGGTCCATTTCTAATCCTTGTATTAACACTGTGTTGAATTCTTCTAGCATTTGGATTCTAGATTCAGGTGCAACAGACCATATTGTTTGCTCCTTGGATTACTTTGATACTTATCATGCTGCTTGTGGAATCTTGGTAAAATTGCCTAATGGGGATACTGTGGAGGTCTCACACATAGGCCAAGTCAGACTACACATAGACATAGTACTGAATGATGTGTTATTCATTCCATCTTTCAGCTTCAATATCATTTCTGCTAGTAAGTTGATAAGGGAATCAAAATGTGAAATTATCATCAGAACTGATTCTTGTATCCTTCAGGGGCAGCTTGG